GGCTGGAAAAGCGCGTATTATCTAACATCTAGAGAACCAAAAGGGTTCGATCCGCGGATATAGCCAAATCACTTCGTCCAGCACTGAACAATCAGCCATACATACGGATTGGATTGGTTTGGATTGGATTGGGAATACGAATACATCGGGAATGCTTGTGGTGCGGGGGAAAACTGAAATGTAATGTTTACGCGCAGCGAAATTTTATTCCATTTACTTGAGCAAGCGCCTTTTGAACTCGCTATTTCACCGACGATCCACTTATGCTAACTAACGTCCTTTCTCGGTTTTTATTTTGTTTATTGTTCCGCCTCCTCTCCTGCTTATTATTTAGTGAACTTTTCAATTGTACGAATAAAATAAAACTATCATATTAAAGGCGCATGAGTAATACAAAATGATTTTCCACTGTATATACTTTGGAATCGCGAGTTGGGGGAAACTGTTGTATTAATGAAAAGTCTAATTGAAATCAAATGTAACGCATAGGGGACGCATGAATTCGATTGTATTTTGGATAAAAAAGTCCGCCAGTGATATATTTATTGCAATTAGTACCCTAAAAGCCCATGATACCATCTTATCAATAATATCTTTCTCGCCATTTGTGAACGCAGAAAATTACTGATTCTGAGCAAAGTTTATAAGGCAGTTAAAAAGCCCGTAGTGGCTATTGATGCATTCGATGGGGGTGTGTACATATATTGGATGGATTTTTTGTCTTCGGCACATAAATTGAAATTCATAAATTGAAATACAAAATTGTGCATTTCGGATTAAATTTGCCATATTGCACCGTTATATACTTATACATTTTTCTGCATATTTTGATGTTTTCGTGCTGGTATTTAATAATTCTATAAAAATTATGATGGATTAAAAAAAGGCATTGTTTTTAATATGCTAAACACTTTAAAATGCGCTATGTCGAGACTTTATTTATTTACATAGAGCTGTGGGGCCCAACCGATAGTTCTAAGAAACATTTCAAAACAGTTTTATTAACTTTTCATTACTGGTTTCATATATATATATATCTTTTTAATTTCTATTTATTTGCAATGAATTAATAAATTCTTTTTAATTGGGTTAATTAACAATTTAAAATTAAGCCACAGCTGTTTTATTGCTGTTCTTTCGATAATATCGATAGGCATTTAAGAAGAAAAAATGTCCCCTGTTTAAGCGTTCTACTTTCTTAACTTGTTAATTTAGTACTGCTTACTACAATAACCAATAGCTAGTTGTTGATTAGTGAGATAAAAATAATATAAACGCCAAGTTTGAATTAATCGATAACACTAGATCGGATTTGCTGTTTGCTGTTAGTACCCGAATCGCCCTATACTGTCCGCGAAACTTGTGCCATTTCTTTTTCAATTCGGCGTCGTTTCGGTGCTTTTCGTGTGTCTGTTCAACTAAAGGTAAGTTTGGCTTATTTAATGTATGATTGGTGGCTAATTAAGGGTCAGTAAGTTAGCCCTAGTTATGGTCTTAGATGAACATGATCAATATGATCAGAAACCGAGAAATTCCAATTGAACCGAGCCCCATTTGCTTCACCACGTGTTTTCAAAGAACGCAATGTGTGGTAATTTGATTGAATCGCACATGCACACACACATAAATTTCAAATGGCGTATTAGTTTTTAAAACGCCCTTCGATGTGTGCGAATGTTAGCTTCTATAATATTTAGCTGCACTAATAAATATGTAGTTCAAGTTTTGCATGTGCATTCAGTCTGGGGATTCCTTCACAGTTGCAATTTTCTGTATGTCTATGAACCTGAATTTATGTAGGTACACATGTATGTACATATATGCACATGGGTACATAAGTCTGTACATCATTTGCAAAGGCGAGACATAAAAAAAAAAAAAAAAACAAAGAACTAAGCGAGTCCTTAATCTTTCAGTGAAATCAGCATTTATTGAAGAATGGACGCTCCACCAGAGGGAAACGTTGACAACGAGTCCTGCAACGAAATCGAGGACGAGAAGTCTGGCTCCGACTGCCAGTCAATGTGAGTAGCTATTTATTTTTGGCACTGCATTTGGGTCATTTACTTAAACGCAAACTAAATCCAAACGCAGGCCGGCCTACATGAACTCGGTCCTGAGGCGGCAGTACTTGCAGGAAATGGTCAAGTCACTGCCCGCTCCGGTGCAAAATCGAATTGTGTGCTTGAAAAACCTGCAATTGGAGCACCTGAAAATCGAGGCCGAGTTCTTCGAAGAGGTCTACAAGCTGGAGCAGAAGTACCAGATCCAATACCAGCCGCTGTTCGACAAGCGCAAGGAGATCGTGGAGGGCAAAGTGGATCCCGCCGAGGAGAAGCCCAACTGGAAGGAGCCGGAGCCGGATACGGAAAACGAGGCCGATGGCGAGCACTTCCGCGAGGCGCTGAAGAGTTTGAAAAGTATTCCCCAGGACGCCAAAGGCATTCCCGGCTTCTGGCTGACGGTGTTCCGCAACACGGCCATTCTCTCCGAGATGGTGCAACCCCACGACGAGCCGGCCATGCAGAAGCTGATCGATATATCCATTAAGTACGATGATGGGGTGAGTTGTAGGCTCTCTCTTCTAGTCCTACTGCATGCTTACCCCTTACTATTTGACAGCATTCGTACACCCTGGAGTTCCATTTCGACAAGAACGAGTACTTTACCAACTCTGTCCTAACGAAACAGTACGTGCTGAAGTCCACGGTGGATCCCGACGATCCGTTCGCATTCGAAGGACCAGAGATTTACAAGTGCACGGTATGCTAGCGCAATCGATTGCCAGCCCCGTCATCGGTGTTTAATTTAAATGAATCCAATTAAAGGGCTGCACCATCAACTGGGAGAAGAAAATGAACCTGACCGTCAAGACCATCCGCAAGAAGCAGAAGCACAAGGAGCGTGGCGCTGTGCGCACCATTGTCAAGCAGGTTCCAACGGATTCCTTCTTCAACTTCTTCAACCCACCAGAGGTTCCAACCGACAAGGAAGAAATCGATGACGAATCTCAGCAGGTTAGCTTGGCCTCGCAGCAGTCATGTCGCAGGATCTTAGCTAATTGTCAAATGTTATTGCAGATATTGGCCACCGATTTCGAGATTGGTCACTTTTTGCGCGCCAGAATTATTCCAAAAGCGGTGCTTTACTACACGGGCGACATTGTCGATGATGAGGACGACGAGGACGAGGAGGAGTATGACGAGAACGAGGAGGACGAGTACGATGACGATGATGCCCCACCAGCAAAGGGCCACAACAAAGCTACCGGTAACAAGAAACAGTCCCCCAATGACTGTCCGAATCAGTAGGCACATTGATATGTGGCTGGTTTACCGATATAATGTATATACATAATTCAAATTTGATTTGAAATATATTTTTGGTGAATTAAAAGTTAACTACAAACGAATACGAGCTGAATTCTAATAAATCGCACAGGATATTTTACCTTACTCGCTTTGCTTTAAACTTAAATCTGCTGAGGTAGTGATGCAATTGTACTAAAATATAACTAAATGAGAGTAAACTGTCTAATTACCATTGTTTTTTGCAAGCAACATGAGCTGCTTTTTCGACAAGTTGTAGGGATAATGCAAACTAGTTGGAACAAAGATTTGTCCCGTGACCTGACTGTCGAAGTTCTCCTCGTAACCCACTGTATAGCCATCTGGTATCTTGGCTGCCCTTTGCCAAGTATAGCACTCCGGCGGAGTTGAGTTCAGGGCGTAGAATGGATAGTCGAAGGTGTTTATGTAGATGTCGACGCAGAGACCATGACTTCCCAGGTGAAGTTGACTGGCCACCGAGGGCTGCTTCAGTCCGCAGCTGCCCAGCATTATGTTCCGGTGGCAGGAGTACACAAAGGTTCCCTTGTCCCGACTCGAATGGAAACACTGCACATGTCTGCCGGCCTTCGAGTGGTCAACGGCAATGGGATCGAATCCGGGTCCAGCCATATCACACGCTAAAACACAAAATGCAATTAAGGTAAGTTTGCAAAACCATTTAAATACTGACTGTCTATGCTTTGGATAACATGATGGGGGTATAAATTTCTTCCCACTGCTGAAGCCAGTTGTCCGCCGAAGCTAAAGCCAAACATATAGCCTCGTTTTGGATCAAATCCCTGCTTGATGAGCGTCAAAATAATGGAAGCTATAGCTCCAGTTAAGGTGTCAAAGTTGGTATACAGCCTTTGCAAGTTTGGGAATTATAATTGGTACTTTTGATTTGATTTTTAAATATTACCTTACCGCATATACGATGAACTGGCTACCACACTATAGTCAATGCATATCACGCAACCGCCTCGATAATAACTGAGTCCTGAAATGTTTATAAATTTTAAATAAATAATTTCGAACATGGAAATTTACTTTAACACTTACGTTCAATTAGTGAGATGGCCCATTCATCCGCACAACTTTGAATCCAGCCATGCAAAACAATGGCAAACTTTTCAGAAGTTGAACAACCTGACTTATTAAGATCATAGGTGTCGTCATAGGCAGATGTTTCCAATGTATTGGTATTGTTTTTATAGAAAATAACTCGCATTGTTTTCTGAGCATCATATTTGATTCTCTGTTGATGGGCTTTTTAACAAACGTATACATTAAGTCGAACCTACAAAGTATCTCTTAATTACATACCAAAAGTGTCATTTTGTAATTTAGATGCCTGTTTTTGCCTTAAAATCGCATATTTAAGATTCAGTTTGGAGTAGGTCTTATTAAATAAAATTTGTAATATAAAAATGATCAAGATTGAGTGAAAAATACTGAACAATTGCATTGTTGTCTTTGAAATTTACAGAAAGTGAAAAGGTAATATTAGTACAAATTTCATATAAATCCTACTGGGAAATGGTTTGTAAAGAAAGTTAACAGATCGATACTTTCAGTGGGATAAAAGTAATCGATGAAGAAATGATTTTGGCGCCAAAAGAAGCTATTCAAATTGCGGATATACAATTCAACAAGAAACCAACTTGAATATATTATTAAATATTGCAATTATCTTTATTTCCATTTATGTGATTCTTTTCTATGTAGAGCACTTCTCATTGTCATCAAAATCCAGCGAGTTAAGAACATTGACATCCAGTTCCGGGTCCGCATACTCCAGAATATTGAAGTCATCTCCCATTTCGGAGGTGAGCGATTTGAGTAGATCATCGTCGTCGCCCTCGCCCAGTCCGCCCAGGAGGTCACTAAAGCCCACGTTCTCCAGCTCGACGGCAGAAGGAGTGGCCTCCTGCGGCTCGGTCATCTTTACGTCCTGCTCCAAGGCCCTGCCATCGGATGGCTGGGATTTTCCGCTAATGCTCAACATCGGATTGTTCTGTGTGATGGGGGTATTCTGCATCATGCCCAGCCGCATGACATCGTTTGGTAGGAACAGGTCCGAATTGGCTCCCATGAGCATGGGCTCCGTGCTGTTCTTTTGCAGTAGGTTTCTTAGCTTCTTATCTCCGATGGGCTCGCTGCCATACACCGTGTTCAACTCCAGCCGACTGTCCACGGGCGTCATCTTCAGGGTAGAAGCTGTGGTCGCTTGCACTTGAGTCCTTTGCATCGTGGCCTTGATCACCAAATTGTCGTTTATGTTTGGCATCACATGATGCGGGTTGGCGTTATTGGGCGTTGGCTGCACCTGGCCACCAACGTAGCTGGCCATGTCATAGGCATTTCCATCTGAAACGAATTTTAGTTAAATAAAGCGAACTGCAGTACTTGAGCTACAGTACTTACTGTACGTGACAAACATATTCGGCTGGTCTTCCTTCAGTTTGGGCTGCTGTTTCCACACTCTAACCATCTCCTCTTGCTTTTGTGGTTTCGGTGGCATGGGGATTTTGTTTTGCTCACGCCTCTGTCGCAATGCGGAGCGATTGTCCTTTGCTTTTTGCAGAAACGGAGCCTTCTTCTCGTTGCACAGCGATCGCCAGCGCTTCAGAATCTGTTTGCAGCGATCATTCCAGTTGGGGAACAACTCCTTAAGGTTCGGATGCTCCGTATTGGCATACAGTACAGCGGAAATGGTGGCCATTAGACCAAGGTCTGCAAGAAGAAATATGCTGAATACTGGGAAAATTGCAGAAATAAAATCACTTTTATTACCCTCATCCTTTCGCATTTTCTCAGCTGTCTTCTGGGTGCCAGCATTGAGGTTTTCCGCCACGGGTTCCACGGCCTTGGGTTCCTCGTCAGGTCTCTTTTCGGTTTGCAGAACTACTTGGCCCATTATGGCCTGCATATTCTGTTTATTGGCATTTTGTGCCTTCAAATGATCGGGCTGCTGACGGAAATGAATCTGTTGAGCGGGGTTCACCGCAATGTTTCCAGGCAAATATAGTTGGTTGTGGAACTTTTGATCCGGTGGCAACTGGTTGGGCACCATATAATTATCGACCAAGACCACAGGTGATTCCCTATAAAAGAAATTAGTTTAAAACCAATTTATAGTAATTAGAATGGATGGCTTACCGCATTGGCTTTTCAATAATTTCAGTTGAGGGCACTGCATTCACCGAGTTAACCGTGTCTAGTTCCGGAATATTGGGTGAAGCCAAAGTGTCCAAAGGATGCCTGTTGGCAAACACAGTATTCGAAATCTCTGTTTGTAAAGGATCTGCAAGGGAATTTCTTGATCATTAATAGTCTGTAATAATATATATAATATGTATTACCGAAAACGTTGGAAACTGGAGCAACAGCGCTTTTCTGCTGTATTCCCATGGGCATTTGTTCAATGAAAACCGTCTTGTTCTCAGTTTTAAGCTCAGCCTTGACCTTCTTCAGCGATTTTGCAGGACTCTTGCTCACCACAGGGGTCTCCTGTTGGGCGGGACTCTTGCCCTCGGGGCGCGTGAAGTACACCTTCATGGAGGCATCAATTTCGTCCGAGGAATCCGACTCGGCCATGACAAACTCGCCGGCCTCCAGCAGCGGCTTGCCGAAGAATGCCTCCTGCAGGTAGACAGGATAGGCTTCGATTAGCTTGTTCTTTTGCTTCTTGCGTATGATCTTTTTCTTCTTGTCCATGGTCATGAGCGAGTTCAACTGGTCAGCGGCCGTCGTCTCCTCGCTGTCCTTTTTCAAGCCTCGATTGCGAACGGAGAAGCCACCGATGCCCAGCTTCTGCAGATTCCGCTGGCGCTTTTTACGCAAGATATGCACTCCCTCGTCGTTGGTGGTGATGGTGAAACCCTCGGGAATGGCGTTCTCCGTGCCATCCCACACCATGCCGTCCTTGTACTTCTCGAGCGCCTCCTCAGCGCCGCCCTCCGCCGCTCCGTCCTTGCCATTCCCGATGGCCTGACGCATCTTGCGCTTCCGCTTGATCTCCGTGGACAGGGACTTGATCATGCCCAGACCGCTTTCGCTCAGACACACCCCGTCAATCCAATGGATGGCCTCGGGGGCCGGCTCGGGCACATCGTTGGCCAGCGAGAGGTGGCCCCCACTCTTGGCATCGAAGCCCGGTCCGGAGGTGGCTGTGATATGCACGAATGCCTTGCTCGACTGCGGTCCAACGGCCGGCGTATCCTCGTTGCCAAACTTGGCATCCATCAGCGACAGTGTGCTCCTCGTTGAGCAGCGGCATTTCGAGCACTTGTACACATTATTGTCGTAGTGATCGATGGTCAGCTGCGCGTTGATGGTGTCGCAGAGGAAGTGCGACCAGAGCTCACAGTGCTCGCACTGGATGATCATCTCGCCGTTGCTGTACGTGTTCTTGCACACGGGACACGACGATTGGCTGGTGCAGGGCGGACACTCGAGCAGGTTGGAGTCCCCGAACTCGTTCTTCTCGGTGGATTGCGGATTGCGGCCGCACTTCTGGCACAGCGTGCAGAACGAGCACTTCCAGTTGCCCGTGGGCACAGTTTCCAGCGGTGGATTCACACAGTAGATGTGGTAGGAAATGTCGCACTCGTCGCACAGGAGGAGGCGCGCCTCGTCGTTCTTCTTGCCACATCCCTCGCACACCGTGCAGTCCAGACAGCGCCAGCCCTTCTGCAGGATGCCCCGCGAGGGCTTTACGCCGGCGCAGTACGGATGATAGCATTGGCCGCACTGGGCGCATGTGATCATCACCGAATCGCTCTCGATGCCCAACGAACCGCACATGACGCAGATATCCTGGGCCTGAATAAACTTGTCCCGCGCCGAGCAGAGCAGCATCTTCTTGTCGCTGGTCAAGTCGTTGTCCATGCTGCGATTCAGGCAGCGATCGCTGGAGATGCTGGGCAGCACCAGTTGGCGTCCCTTGCCCCGCGTGCCGCGCTTCTTGCTGATCTGCGACATGACGCCCATGCGGTGCAGCACAAACTTGCCGCTCTTGCCGCGCACATTCGAAAGGCACACTTTTTTCTTGCCCGCGGGCAGCTTCTGCAGTTCATCGCCGAACGGATCCATTGTGGGTTTGCCCTCCAGCGGGTCGAGCTCCATTTCTTTGACACTCAGTTGCTCTGACGACGAATCCATGGTGGACAAGACGATCGAGTCGATTGCCTGTTGCGATTGCCCCGCACCCGAAGAATTACTTTTGCAGTTGGGGCACACGTAATCGTAGTCGGGATTCTGCTCCTTTTTCTTGTGGTAGGCCGTTAGATCCGCCTCTTCGTCACACGTGCTGTGCACAAATCTGAAAGAAATCCATGGAGAATCGTCAGCAGGGCGAGACCAATTGGCCAGAGGCGAGCGAAACGTACTTGTGGCACCAGCTACACTTGACCATTTCCTTGTGGGAGGCTGCTCGGTAAGCCTTCTGGCAAATGGGGCAGGAGAAACCCTTGTTACGCTGCTGATAACACGAATCGCAGATTGTGTAGTGGCTGTGCCAGCGGGAGGAACTGCCGCCGCCAGGAGTTCTCGATCCGCAATCCGTGCAGACGCGACAGCGCTGGAATGAGTGTGTGACATGTATTAACTACTCATGGTTTTTCAAATATTATATATGTATGCATACATTGCACTTCCAGCCGTATTTTGGAATCGCTGAGATAACAGGTCGCAGGCAAGAGGCATGGTAGATCTTCTGGCACTGCTCACACTTGACGTACTTGGTGTCGTTCGAGTCCTGCTGACGACAAATCTGGCACTTGGTGCAGCGGGCGCAGTTCCAGCCAGAACGAGTGTCTACAGAAAAGGTAGATGTGTAGTATACTAGCGCAGAAGTGGAGTTAACAGTTTGCCTCACCTGGCAGATTGGCCAGCCCAATGCAGGTGGAATGGAAGTGGTCTCCGCAGGTACTACACATGATCAGTTTGGACAGGTCCCCCAGCGAGGAGCAGGTCAGGCACTCCACGTTATTGTCGCTGCCTGCAAGTCGATCGATTAGTTGATTAGTTTTTAGTGGATTTCACAGGCTTCGAAGCAACAGCAACCACTTACATATCACAGGCACTTGGCTCAAGTGCTCCGTGCAGAAGACAGTGAAGCTCTCCAAGATGAGGAGGCAGCCGGCGGCAGCCGCACATGGCCAGTGGTGCACCTGGCGGCAGTTCATCTTGCAGTTGATGGAGGCCCCGTGGCGGCCGCAAAAGTTGCACTTCTGCTCCAGGAACTCCGCAAAGTGGCTGGCAAAGTACGTGGCATCCGCCTCGCTCAGCTGGCTCTTGCGCAGTGACCACATGATGCACATGCGGTGCACGTAGAGAAATCCGTCCTCGAGGAACTCGGCGGGATGCACCACCTCCGGCTGTCCGATCTTGTCCAGCTCGTAGTGGCAATCGCCCGCGGGCAGGGAGACCTGCTTCTGGCCGTAGAACAGCCTGCTACCGTCCTCCGCCAGCCGATCCATTGGATATTTATCCTTCATTTCGGTGGCGGAGGGCGCCTTCAGCTGCAGAATCTCACCCTGGCCCAAGGCACTCTTCTCCCCCAGGTTGCATAAACAGCACATCTTGCCCGGATACTTCTCCGGAAAGTAGGGCAGGTCGTCGGTCAGCGCCTTCTCCTCCATGCTCACAACTACGTTCGTGCTCATCGCAATCCACTGTGTTTCATTAAAATAACAAAAAATAGCCGCCGCTTATTTTGTATACATTACTCGACTGCTAAATAAAATGTGCACGTGTAACGAGGCCCCAAAGTTATCGAACACCCGACAAAGTTGTCGAAATCGGTAGTCGATAACAAGAAATATTTAATAGCTTTGGAAGTGAAAAAACTGTTAATTTTGTATAATATATATGTCAATATAATAATATAATTAACAAATGTATAAACTTTGTATTATTTAAATCTAGTAAACAAAATTAAATAAATATTATTAATAAGTGATATATTTATATATTTTTGCCGCCATAACTGGTTGTCACGCCTTGTTATCGATAGACCTCTTGCACGCCATTGTTATCGATGGACCTCTTGCTCACCCATCCCTATTAGCCAATTGCGATTGAAAACGAGATGCTGAATTTGTTTAGGACTTAAGAGATGTAAATAGAAGAATAATTATAATTTTATTACAAAAAAAGATGGCTGTTTATCGTCCCCGAGGCACCTTGGCCAGAGTCATCCACGCCAAGTTTCACAACGACAATTCCCTAGAAGACATAGACACCCGAAAGGTGAGAGTCCATCTCGTGATCTCTTATAGATTAATGTGCATATGGTGTATGGTTTGTATGGTTTCAGTGGTATTGCTTGAACCACGAACTGCCGCCGAGATTCCAGGCCAAGTTCGTGCCCCTGGAGCCGGATGCCACCACGGTGAGCTGGCTGGAGCGCACCAAAGCCTTGTCGGCGAACATCTGGACCCACTTGTGGCACGCGCTGGCCAGGTCCATCCTCCAGTTCTTCATGACCCAGACGGACATCAATGGATTTTTGAAGCGCGGATCCATGTTCATCCTGTCCGAGGATCAGTTCCGCAAGTTACTGGTCGCGGGCGGCTTTCAACCTGCCTCTGGAGATGAACCGGTACGAGGAACATCCCCAACAATTTGCCATTACTTATCATCTTGTTACAGGTAACGTTACTGGACATCGGTGCCGGCGATGGCGAGATCTCGCTGCGAGTGGCCAACACCGTCTCCGAGCTGAGTGGCAGTGCCGGGCTGCGGGTTTTCGCCACGGAAGCCAGTTGGACTATGCGCGACCGCCTTAAGAAGCTGAACTTCAACGTTATCACCGAGATAGGCGGCCTGCAGAACTTGGAGTTGATTTTGTGCCTCAACGTACTGGACCGGTGCTTCGACTCCTTCAAGCTGCTGGAGGACATTAACCTGGCACTCGCACCCCATGGTCGAGCTGTGGTGGCCTTAGTACTTCCCTATATGCATTATGTGGAGACAAACACCTCGCACTTGCCACTGCGTCCGCTCCTGGAGAACAACGGGCGGCAGGCGTCGTTCGAGGAGGAGGCCGCACGCTTCATGGAGCTGCTCGAGAGTTGCGGATTCCGCGTGGAGTCTTGGACCAAAGCGCCGTACTTGTGCGAGGGAGATCTTCACCAGTCGTTCTATTGGTTAATCGATCTTATTGTTGTCATTTCGAAGAAAACATTCTAGATCAACGCTTCCACTCTGAACAATTGTAACCGTTTCGCTCCTAGAGTTAAGTGGCTGCATTGATAAACTGAGCATTTATACTTATTACAAATGTAGGCTATAAATTAGGTAAACAATTTATTCTTAAACAATTACCAAAAATGTAAATGGATAAACATGTTTAAATTAAAGTGCGAGAATTCTAAGCCGCGTTCAAAACGAAATGCTGTTCGTAAGAGCGTAAACTTGTGTTGGATACTTGTAAAAGTAACGAGGTAGTTAAAATTATATGACGAGAACTTGTCTTTCAATTGATAGTCCATATAGTTTGTCAGCTTGTCAGATACTGTGAACTTATCTTAACTAGTTTAAATAGTCTTTTCGGTGGTCTGTTAATAATGGTTTTTGGAACTTGTGAAAACAACCTCCAGGTAGTTATTTGCATAAACAATCCTTTCGCAGTCTTCTGGCGAAGGGTTGTGAAATGGTAATAGTTCACGATAGGGATTGTCGGTTATGTTGTAGGCCCGATTGACGGCAATGTAATTTTGCTTGGCCACCATATTGATGGCCGTGTAATCGGACATTGCCTGGACCTTTGAGATCGACGTATAACAAATGGGAACACCAAAAGATCGAACCATACTTGAGAGACAATGCTGCCAGTCGGAAACCTCATAACCTTCGTTTTGTACTTTTAATACCCTGACCAAGTCCTGGGTTATTTTTCCAGTGCCGATGAAATCGGGTTGCAGCATGAAAATCAAAGTGGGATCCACATTGTAACAGCTTGAATACTGTGCAAATGTTAAAGGATAAAAGCGTTTTATCACGGTTCGACTATGATTCTTAACACTGAAGCCTCCTTTTGTGACTTCGTTCTGTTTTAGTGATTTCCCAATGAACACCAACTCCAGGTGACGAATGTTTGGGTACTGCAGGAACAGGAATTTCAGGTGCATGAGGTCGAAGTATCGCAAGTGCTCCTTGGTGGCGCCCACCACGTAAACGATGACAGCTTTGTCCGGATTGGAGACCCAGGAAATGTGCGTCAGGGCCAGGCAAAGGCTGGCGATGCCGCTGAAGGATGAACAGGTGGCGAATAGCTGGTATTCCTCCAAATTGGTAAATGGATTGTCGCTAATACTCAAGGAAGTGGCTTTAAAGAAAGCATCCACAATATGAGTCTTTGCTAGGGAGCTGCTTTCGTAGAAGTTAGTGATGTTCTTGAGACAGTCCAATTGGCGCAAGGGAGTGGAGATGAGGGCCAGTGTTCGGCAATCCTTTGGCGAGTGATAATCCTTGACTGCATGTAGGTGCTCCGGGCAGTAGGCCACTCCGGCACATACCTTGCAGGCTTCCAGTGCTTCGGTACTGAAGCACACGTCACAGACGACTGGGTTCCCTATGAGTTGGCTTTCCCGCGGAGTGAGTGGTCTGGCCAACTTGATCCACAGAATCAGCTTGAGCTGGGACATGACGAACTGCAGCATCGCTCGATCGGAGATCCTTCCGTGAAGCAGCAACGGATGGTCGATCTGTCTGAACTTCTGAAGGCTCCTCAGCACCTGGCAAAGGGGCTTGTGTTCTGGACGATCCGCAACGAGATGGGCCACGCTGCAGTATCGCTGCATTTTGCATCCTCTGCAAATTACTTTTGGCTTCACATGTGCTTTCTGCAGATGTTTCACGAGAGTTTTTTCCAGCGGCTTTGATTCTTTAGCTTGTGTTAAGTCTTTCCAAGTCAGTGCTACATTATTAACACAAACAAAACACCTAAGGGACGATGGCGGATTTAACGTCATCATATTTCAGTAGAGTATTTTTCTGCAAAGTATGTATGGAACACATGTGTTGAGCTCTATAATAATACTTGTGAGAAACTTTACCAAATCCTTAAATCAGCGGGCTTTTAATTTTATAGTATTTGGGCATTTAAAATGCCTCTACAGCCGAACACTTTTGAAAGTTGAGCAGGTAAGTTTTGAACTGGTTGAAAAATGAAGTTCCACTGAATTGATCTAGTGGAGCTAATGAACCAGTTCACAGATTCCAAAAGATTCAAAAGACAATCTTAAAGCCCTTCCAGTTCCGAACCGAAAGTGTCATCTCTATCGGTTCCACATCAAGTTTGCATTTGCGTTGCTCGCATTTTGGGTTTGTTTTGATTTGGATTTAATAAAAAAATCCAAAATGTCAGAGACAATGGCGGAAGAGAAGCCTAAAGATAAGTCTAGGGGAAACCGGCGCAAGGACAAAAAGGACAAGGCCAATCAGGTCGTCAAGGTAATCCCAGTATACACTATTCCGTAATGCCCTAATTATAAACACAAAAACGCAGATTGTGATGCGGCATTTGCCGCCCACCATGACGGAAGCGGACTTCCTGGACCAGGTGGGTCCTTTGCCGGAGAGCGACACCTACTACTACTGCCCGGCGGACTGGTCCCTGGGCCAGGAGGCCACCTGCCGCGCCTACATCGACATGTCGCTGAAGGACATCGCCGACGTGCTGCAGTTCCGGGACCGATTCGACGGCTATGTCTTCGTGGACACCAAGGGCGTCGAGTACGTGGCCATTGTGGAGTACGCCCCTTTCCAGTGCTTCCTGAAGAACAAGGCCCGAAACGACGACAGCAAGGTGAACACCATCGAGAGCGAGCCCCACTACCAGGAGTTCATCCAGCGGCTGGCCGACGAGCGGGAGGAGGCCAGTCGCATGGGCGAGGTAAAGATCGACTTTTGCTTCGACCGCCGGGCGGACGAGAAGGTCAAGTCCACGCCCCTGCTGCAGTACCTGGCCAACAAGAAGGAGAAGCGCCGCGAGGAGGCCCGCAAGCGGAACGAGGAGAAGCGCAAGCAGCGCGAGGAGCAGAAGCAGGTGCGCCTGGCGGAGCAATCGGACGCAACCAAATCCAAGGAGTCGGCTGGTGCTGGCGGAGACACCAAGAAGCCCGCCGGCAACAATGCCAATGCCAAGAAGGATGGCAAGGATCTCCCGGCATCCGCCGCTCAAGGCAACGACGCGGCCAAGACCTCGCGCTCCAAGCGGCGCACGGAGCGGGATCAGCGGCGACGGGAGGAGCACGAGAAGCGCAAACTGGCCCAGCGGGATAAGAAGAAGCCAGAGGGCCAGAGTCAGGGCAAAACCGAACAAGACAAACCTTTCGTCGGCAAGCAGAACCAAAAAAACACAAAGTCTAAGGCAGACAAGGACATCGTCATTCTCAAGAAGGAAAACAAACCACCTGAGACAAAGGATAGTTCGCAATTGCCAACTACTTCAAGGGCAGCGCTTGCAGAAGATTGCCAGGAAAAAACGACGACTCAAAACAGCGAGGTACCAGAAGCTGTCAAGAAATTTATCCAAGCTGCCGGCGGAGGCACCAAGGATAAAGGAACTGGCGCAAAAGCACAGGAAACAACCACCGAGGAGGCCATCAAGGCAGCACGATTCCGAGACTCAGAGGAGCGACGCATTCGCAACAAGGTTGGATACTCATCATTCCACTTACCACTCACCACTCTACTTATAACATTTATGTATTATAGGATCGTCCCTCGATTGCCATTTACCAACCCAAGGCGCGCAATCGCATAGGATCGGAGGATTTGCCACAAGGCACGGGTAAAGACTGTTCGGATGGAGAGGCTTCCGTGGTGGAGGAAAAGTCGGGCAAGAAGAACAAGCGCTCCAACCGGCGCAACAAATCGAAGCCCATGGAAGTTAAGGAAGAGCATCAGGATGAAGCTCGACGCGTTTCCAAATCCTCGGAGAGCAGCAACAGTGCCAACTCCACCAAAGCCGTCAAATAGCGATAACGTAAGGACTTTATTGTTAAATAAACGTTGCACATTTGGATGGGACAGTTATGGGTCAATAGAACTCGTCCTCCATTTCCATCTGTGTACACGATTTTTGATTATTCTTGACCTGGTCCTGTGACTGGTACATGTGGGCCACCTGATTGGCGTCCGTTGCGTTCTCGCTGTTCTTGTCATCGCGGATGCGAATGAACCGGGGGAATCTCAGCGAGATGCCGCGCTCGCCGTCCACAATCCCTATGGCTGCTCGGTGGATGGGGCTCAGGGACAGATCGGCGCACTTAACCTCCCACACCTGGACGGGCTCAAACCAGTGATCCGGCTCCAGGCTGGCATCGTATCTGTAGTAGGACTTGGCACTGGGCGTCACATGCTTGCCCAAGAACTCGGAATGCGTCTGCAAGTCCTCATCGGTGAAGCCTAAAAAACAGAGGATTGCGTTGGATGTCTTTGAATCGGATATGCAGTAATACCTGTTCCAATTTTGCATATGCTCTGGTATTCCTCATTTTCGGTGTCATAGCAGGCAAGCAAAAATCCACCATAGGTTCCAGTTCGCCGGCCCTTTCCCTTGTAGCCGCCGATCACAACCAAGTCCAGTGAGTCGCCCACATTGGATATGTAATCCTTCTTTAGTTTCAGCCAATTTCTGGATCGCTTGGCAATCTCATAGGTGGCCTCCTCATCCAGTGTCTTCACCATAAGACCCTCGCAGTTCCCTAGTATATATATTTATGTATTAATAGTTAATATATAAAAGTAGAAAGGTAGTAGATAGGGCAAACCTTTGATGGACTCCTCTAGAAACTGTTGCACCTCGTCTATGTCATTCGTGTCCAAGGCAGTGGCAAATTTCCACTCTCCCTCGACTTCCTGGAAATTCTCCAGCAGCAGTTTGCGACGCTCTGACAAGTTTTTAGTCACCAAGGCCGTGCCGTTGATATAAAGTAGATCGAATATGTAGACGCAGACTTGGACCTTGATTTCTTCGATGTCTACGTTCTTGCGCTTTCGCGTGCTGAGCACTTGGAAGGGCAGAATCTGCTTACGCTCGACATCCCAAGCCACAATTTCGCTGTCAATAATATAGGACTTTACTTCGCCCTTGAGCAGTCCACTGCTCCTGGCAATCAAGTCCGGATATTTGGCCGTGTTGTTCTCCGAGTTGCGCGAGAATATGCTGATCTCGCCCTTTTCGTTGAGGTGAATTTGTGCCCGCTCCCCATCGTACTTCCACTCGCAGGTGATTTGCATGCCGCCGAATCTTTCGAACACCTCGTGAACGCCCTTGGTGGGCTGGGCCAGCATGGGCCGCAGCGGCATGCCGGGATGCATGGGGCAGCGTTCCTGCAGCTCCTTAATGTCGTACTTCAGGATGGCCGGAATAATGATGTCGTAGTTGGGACATTGGCTGAAAGAGCTCCGTTTATATATAATATCGAAATGTATAAGATGAAAACCCACCTGTAGGCAGTCTTGAGCAGCAAAGTGGTCTCTGCTATTTCATCCTTATACACCTCTGTCACCCTGCTGGCTTTGCAGTCGTCGATGTGGTTCTTTTTGACCAGGCCAATGGCCAGGGCGGTGAGCAGACTCTGCTCGGCAATGCCAATGCGCAGCTTGCCAATCAGAGAGCGGATGAAGAAGCGAGCCTCCGACGATCGGCAGGCCACGAACATGTTGTACACCAGATCCATCTTCGACTGACCGGATAACTTGGCTATTTCCCGCAGCTTCCTGAACACATCCCTTACGTTCAAGGGCGCTGGCTGGAACATCATGCGCTGGGAAACGCGCGATTGCTCGGCCACAATGCCCAGATCTCCGATCAGGTGCGTCTGCGATTTAATGTGCGCCAAATTGCGACCCGTGGCCTTGCAGATGGCCTTCATCAGGGTGGTTTCGGCCACGCCCAGCTCCAATCCCTCGTAGGCAGGGGCCAGTTGGTTGATGCTGAGATACACACTGGGCACCAGGTCCTCCGGACTGACCAGCATCACCGAGCTGAAGAAGTTGCTCAGCGTGTCGATCATCTTGAGGCGGCCCTTGGTCTCCTCGATGACTTGGAATGTGCGAGCCAAGGCCAAGTAGGGAGTGCTGGAAATGGTTTCCCTAGCTAAGATCACATTCCCTGGTTGACAGATCCACTTTACTTACACTTTCTTATCCTTCCAGTAGGCGTTTTTGAGTGGGTTATAGGATTCGGCGGAGGGATCATAGTTTTCCATATCCTCCTTGCTGGCGGTAGTGGAGTTTAGTCCTATGGTTGTGACCTTTCGATCAGTCGTTTTGCCCTCGGAGTCCTGCTCCTTTTTAACCTCCTTCAAGGGACTTGACTTTTCCCCCGAGTCCACGGACATCCGTTCAACCTTTGGCTTTATTTCCGGGGAGCCATCCTCGCTCTTTATGATGGGTTCATCCGGCAGTTCCGCTTTGGCCTCGATCCTTAGGGGAATTAAGACATTATTAACATATGAAATTGGCACTAAATTGGCTCAGCTTACTTGGGAACTTTTTTTGGTGGCGAAGGGCTGTCGGCGGCATCGGATTTCTTCTTGAAAAAGGAGCTGAAATAAGGGATTGTAAGTAGCAATAAATAATATTAAACTTAAGGGTTGTAAATTTACGTTATAGACTTTTGCATTTTGATGGTGGCACTACTTTTAAACAAATATAAATTGCAATGCTATTCTGAAATTGGTTCCCGCCAGTTTGGTTTTGGTGTGACCAAAATTGATTAGGGATAAAAGGACAAAGTTATGAATCTAGAAAATTGTTAAAACTTTCAAATTAATCCTTTTGATTAATTTAACCAGGATCAGAAATATAAAAATTATTCTGCGAATATTCTTCACTTTTTAAACTCATTAAATTGCAGATTAGTTGAAGAATGTATTAATAAAAAACAGGATAATTGTTGTTTGCTTCATATATGGCAAATTTCATATTTAAATATATTTGGAACACAAGAAATGTGTTTAATATCAAATTACGAAAAGTAAACGAAAATATTTGTGGCTGTATACGTATTTATTGTTTTTTAGAAAGTTGTTAGTTTCAAATGTGACAAATGTTATATTTAATTACAAACCCGTTTTATTTAAATTTTCAACTTAAGACCAAAACATATTTAAATTTAAATTAAACATATTTTTATTTAAATTTTATTTATAGTCTAATTACTAAATTTTTTTAAAAATGTTTAATATAAAATTAAGAAAAATAAAATATTTATGGTACATGCAAAACAATTATATGGCCTACTAAGAATGCCCTCTAGTATATTCTACGCTTGCGGTGCTCTGGTCACACTACAAATATACGTAAGGGATTGTTGAATTCACAAATAATTGCAATAGCATAGCTTGGGAAATTTGCAAAGCGACAAATTGATAAAGCGATACACTATGGCCGACGAAAGCATCACGCGAATGAACCTCGCGGCCATCAAGAAGATCGATCCGTACGCCAAGGAGATCGTGGACTCGTCCTCGCACGTCGCCTTCTACACGTTCAACGCGGAGCAGCAGTGGGAGAAGACGGACGTCGAGGGAGCGTTCTTCATATACCACCGCAACGCGGAGCCCTTCCACAGCATCTTCATCAACAACCGACTGAACACCACGTCGTTCGTGGAGCCGATCACCGGCAGCCTGGAGCTGCAGTCGCAGCCGCCGTTCCTGCTCTACCGCAACGAGCGGTCGCGCATCCGGGGCTTCTGGTTCTACAACAGCGAGGAATGCGACCGCATCAGCTGCCTGGTCAACGGCCTGCTGAAGTCCAAGGACCAGGGCACGGGCACGAACGGGCAGGCCCAGCGGATGGCCGCCACGCCCCAGCAGCTCCAGCAGCAGCAGCAGCCCAAGCAGGACAAAGCCAGCATATTCAATATGCTGAGCAAGGCGCAGAAGGACTACAATGCCCAGGTGAGCGGGCAGCCGAAGACGCCGTCGACGGCGGAGAACGTGACGGCCGGCAATGTGCTCAAGTTCTTCGAGTCGGCCAAGCAGGCCACGGCGGAGTCGCTCTTCCATCGCGTCCAGCCGCTGTCCGTGGACCAGCTGGAGAAGCAGCAGCGGGCGGGCACTCCTGGCGAGGATCTGCTGCCGGGGACAGCTGGCCGGGACAGCCACGAGAGCCGGCTGTCGCCGTTCCAGAAGCTGAGCAGCCAACAGTTGAACACCCAGCTGCTGAGTGAGCTGAAGATCGGGAAGAACTATGCCCCGGCCGCATCGTCGCCAACCAGTGCTCCGACCTCGTCGGCCCTGATGGTCAACGACGATGCCGGCAAGTGCTTGCGGAGATTGCTGGCCGGCGACAAGCCCGGTCCGGCCCTCATGCCGCCCACCATGTTCGATGCGCCCAACAATGGCAACCCGGAGCCCCAGGAGGTCCAGCAGCCCCTCAACTCGACGCAGTTTGTCCAGGCCTTCACCTACTTGATCCAGAACGACAAGGAGTTCGCCAACAAGCTGCACAAAGCCTATCTGAACGGCTGTTCCAATCTTCTGCTGGACTCCAGTCCCACATACAATCAATAAACAGAAATAACCAACATTTCCGAAATTCTGCCCATCTTTTCATTTGTTTGCATTGCAGTTGAAGTTCAATACCATTTCAATTACAATATGTAATAGCCACAAGTAGACAAGCCAATTGTAGATTTAAAATCTAGCAGCACCAATTCCCAGAGCAAGTGTAGGCGAAATGCAAACAGAGATACAAGAACCCAAACTAACTTAGTTGGTTTTGGTTTTGTGAAGTATTCGTATTCGTGTTTATTTACAAAATGGCTAACTAAGTCGCAAGGGCATAGAAAAGATAGTTGAATGGCAAACAGAATTCAATAAACATAATTTTAGTAACAATAAATAACAACGTTTTTATTTAATTTAAGATGCCCAACTGGGAGAGCAAGTAGTACAGAAAACAGAACAGCCACAGATTAAAGTCGACGTGGCTAACACCCGCCGTTGCGGATGTGGCGACTGTGGTGAGGTTCTCGGAGTAGCCATCGAAGGAGACGATGCACTGGTAGGCATCGGGATCATCATCGGTGTCAAAGACGGCCACCACCGCCGTCCCATTGTAGTAGCCTTCCTCGTCCTCCTCCAAACTGGTGGGCTCCCTCTTCACAACATCCTGATCGTTTGAACTGCAAGTAAGATATATAGTTGAGTAACAATCACTTAGATCTTAGCATAGAATCATTCCTTACACAATCGAGATAGATGGTCGGGGATAAACATTCGTCACGGTGCACTTCAGCTGCGTTTCGTTATGGATCTTATTGTGGCTCAGCTCCAAGGTGTAGTTCCTCACATCGATGACCTGCACCCTCTGGTGACTAGTGAAGGTCTTAAGAGGCGTCTGAACCACGCACTTGTAGTCGCCAGTAGTTCTAATTGTGGGATTAATCAGCGCCAACGAGCTGTACTGCTTATTGGGTTCCATAGAGCTCTCATACGAAATATCTATCTCGTTCTTAAACTCAGGCTATTATAGGAAGACCTTTATAATTACAGACACAAATTTGTAACTAATCTAATTAACTTACGATCGCATATGGAAGATTTCCCAGGATCCACTGATATATGGATTTCTCATCTCTGTACCATTTTAAAGTAAGAAACGATGGGTTCTCCTCGATTTCATAATCACAGTCCAAAATCGTTGGGTCCATCTCTTCGTTTTGAAGGACCACAATCTTGTCTTCGGACTCATCTTTTGTGGGATAGCATAGTGCATCTGCATATGAAAGAAATTCTCGTTTAGAAAACTTTTTTTTAAAAACAAGTTTGCAAAAATTACAGAACAGCCAGCATTGTTTGGAACATTATATAGGCAAATCCAAAACACATTTATCACCACCGTATGTATACAAACAGCAAATCTATATACATTTTGGCGAAAAAGCTTATATTTACGAAAAGCAAAAACTCGAACAGATGCCTGTTTTGTTTAAAAATAGAAGGCAATAACAAACAAAAAGCAACAAAATTTTAACATTTTTCATTTGGTAGTTTGTCATGTGTGCCAAAATGCGTGGAAAAATGCGTCAAATGTTCATTTTAAGTTAATTTCACTGGACTGGTACTTTTGAATTTTTCATTGGGTACATTTTAGTTTTATTATTTTGCTTTTCTCATTTAAATTTTACATTTTTTAAATCACTTGAAATTTTTAATATTTAAGCTTATGATCCTTTGGGTCTCGAGTAACTCAAAAGTAAAAGGACATGCGAATATCACAGTAGCCAGTTGTTTATATTCCGTTTAAATGCACATGTTAACTCAAAACTGTTTTTAGCTATACGTTCGTATTTATAGATATCCGATTTGTCATTATTTTTCTCAAGGTTTGTCCGATGTACACTTGCTGTATTCGTATATGTTTATATACGCTTTTTGAAATGATTTCATTTCTTAATTTAAAATCAGTGTCCGAGTGCTGAATATTTGTTACACCGGCACATCTACCTATGCGCATGTACCTCTCTGGAATAATCCAATTGCAAGAATGATAATAAGTAGAGGATCCATAACGGTCTATTTACACTTCCTCATATATACCCTCGCGGTAGATCAGACTTTCGGAAGCGATCCTAACTCAACCGTCCGCTCTGCATGGTATAACTATAGCAACTGAATGCTTTTCTTTTTGCCACGGGAGAAACGAGCAGCGAGAGCTATTAGCCATAAGCCATAAGCCAAAAGCCACCCAGCGTAACCAAGCATATTCGTACTGTGCCGAGATAATGCCGGCACTTCCTCTCTGGCACACGATCCGAACCCCGAAGGCTTGTAGTACCTATCGTGGCTATAGCCCGTGCCACTTGTGCATGACTCTCGCGGAGAATAATCATCAGAGGCGGACATGTGTTTGGGCCAGAGCTAGTGGGTTCGGGTTGGGTTTTTTTTCGGGGAGATCGCTCTGCAGCTGCCTCAGTTTAATAGCAATTGCCCTGCATGTGTGGGGGTTGGAAAACCTTTCCGCTTCGATACTCTCCGCTGCTCCTAGCTGCCGTTGACTATTTGAAAACCAGTTGGCGGTTCGTTTCGGCCCACTCCTACGACTATACAACTAGGGATAGTCCAGTTCTTTGACCGTTTCAGGACATGCCACTGCTGACGGGTGGCGACACCCATTCTTTAAGGACCTTTCCACCTTTTCTGTGTCTCAGAAAAAGTGGAGGGGCTGTTGTAACGTTTAAAATTCAAAATATTCCGTCTCCATAGCAATAATGATCATTAAAATTCCTGTAGTCTTAGGAACCTTTTATTTCAATAATGACTAGCAACAACTTTTTTTTTATTTTTTTTAATATTAAATGTCAAACATTAATTATTCTGAAAAAAGAAGGCAATCAAATTCTTATCGCTATTCGTTAGGCACAAATTAAATCAGTTTCCAAAATTAATAAAAAGAAAAAATTCCAATGTCAAGACCTTTAAAAATAAATATTCCAGCCAATGAAAAATGTGATAATGATTTAATTTCAAAAATAAAGAAATACCATGTACTGGCTGCAAAAAGTTAGGGTATAATTTATAGAGTTTCATCTAGGCTAAGATTTACTTTTGCTTTGTAAAACGTTAATAAGTGTTCGTATGTAGTGGATTTTTTTTGTTAAGACTTAGACAGTCGTTCCAATTCGTTGATTAACAAAAGAAAAAGCCTTCACTCTTCCATACGAATGTGTAAATACAATACACGTATGGTGCTAAACCCTTTTCTTCAACTTGTAAAAAGATACCCACATTTGAAAGACAATTGCAGATAAAACGTTACAGAATAAACAAATATATATGTTATTAATTGAGCTGGATTCCATTCTCGAAGAAAACCTGGCATCCATAGGACTTAGCTCTAGACTCATTTACGTCCACAGACGCAGTGGCATTGAAATAGCCATCCTCGTTTTCCTGGGCATTAGACTCCTCTTTTATAACTTCCCCAGTTTGGGATCTGTGGGTTTGTTATAAAAATTAATATATATATAATGCAAACCCAAATGAAAGGTATTATTTTACATGATTTTAAGACTGGGTCTGGGATACATGCCGGTCAGGATACACTGCACCTGGGTTCCGTTGGGGATTGTATTGTGGTATAGATCCAACGAGTATTTACTTAGGTCGATAACCTGTACCGTCTGTTCAAAAACGTTAACGTTTGCTTCGGTTAGGACCACACACTTGTAGTCACCAGTCGTTATGATTGTCGGATTAATGAGGGCCAACGAGCTATACCGCTTGTTCGGATCCGAAGAAGCCACATATGAAGTGTTAATCTGGTTCCTAAAATAGGGCTGCCATAAGAGTAAATTTAAAATATTTTAAAATTATTAGAAATTTTGGCTTATTTCAACTCACGTTCACAGCAGGAGAACTTCCCCGAACCCAGTGATATATAGGTCTGTCATCTTTAAACCACTTTAGAGCAATCATTGATGTGTCTGCCTCAATCTCATAATCACAGTCCAAAACCGTTGGAACCATCTTCGCCTTATTTCGATATATGTATGCAAGCCTAACGTCTTTTGTGGCATAGCATAGCAAATCTAAGCAGAAAAGGAACATTTCATGTTAGGTATATATGAATAAACTTAATAAATATTTATAATTTTTTCAGATTTAAATGTATACCTTCCTGTAACAACACAATTGCAAGTATAAAAATCAATTTTGAACCCATAGCGACCCTATTTATTTTTTAAAATATTTAGTCGCGGCTGATATTTAATGCGAGTCTAGTTTAACAGTCCGATCTGCTTAATCTAGCTATTCCAACTGAATGTTTTTGAATTGAGAGCGCATAGATTTAAGCAAAGATTATACTGGCATTATCTATTTGTCTCACAGATTCTTTAAAACACGATCCCAATCCGAATCTCGTATCGCTCAAGTCAGTTGTGCATGATTTGTGAGAGATTTAATGGCGCTGGCTACCTTTACGTAATTAGGTAAGACTCAAGTAAATTGTTATTAAAAATGTAACTTAACACAATAGCCCAAATGCCTTTTTGTTTTCAAATTTAATTTGATGCATCAAAAAAAAAACACGTTAATGCTAGCAGAAATAGGAATTTATTAATTTAAACCAACATTATTCTTGTTTTTTAAAATATTGACAATTTTATTTATTTCTGACAAAAATATAAATTTCAACCTTTATACGTTTTTATATATACTTTTTTTAAATCTCGTTCCATCTCGTTAGTTAAGAAAAGAAAATGAAATTTACTCAACCTTGAAAAAAGCTAAAAAATACTTTTATTCTCTGTTTAATTTTTGGCCTGCACTATTTCTCCCCAGAAATTTTCAAAATTTTTAACCAATATTATTGCTGTTTTCCATACCTCTTTATTCGAGAAAAATTTAAAATATTAAAAAAAAAATTCAAATAAACATGATTAACAAGACAAACAATATTTACATACAGCCTTTTCGTGTCGCATCCAAAATTAGGGTGTCCAATAATAAACTTCAGCATAGAGTAAATGCAAATTAAGCTTATCTTGGGTTACAGAAATTAACTAATCGAAATAATCTGCAAAGCAAATAGTTGCTTCCGAAAAAGAGGGTTACTTTCACCAAGCGCTAATAAACAATGTTTCTATCAGCCTAATATTATGAACAAGGAAAAATAGTAAGGTGTCTCTTATCCATTGTGTTAGGTACAACACCATTTGTTTTACAAAATTGTTTCTCCGTTTTCGTCGCGGAAGTACATTTGCAGATGCCCTTTCTTTTTTTGGATATTAATAAGACTGTAAATAGGGAATATTTAAATATTTCTCAATTTTTTGTGAGTAGCTAATTTCATTGTTATTTTTCTTGAGCATCTCCTTTAATTTTATGTACTCTCTTATTTAATTTAGGCGATTATTTCACTTACTTTTAGAGGAAAGAATATTTCAGGTTCGTCGTTAGTAAAAAGCCCAATTTAATCTTCTGAGTGTTGCTTTTTGAGGCCTGTGAAAATTGCTGCACTCAAAAAAAAACCGACTAAAGTGGTGATTAAAAAGTTGTAAGTTTATGGGAAAGTAAGGGGTACAAATTAGAATCTTTACCGAAAGAAGGAAAGGTGCCCATATACCGGTATATGAACAATAAAATGTATGCAAATAACAATAGTTTTTTGTGGTATTTTAACAAGTAAATGGGGGTAGGGTGGATATTTTTGCGGCAGTGCATGACACGCGCCGGAAAGTCAGATTTCCACCCTTGTTTCGAGTGGAGCTCGTTAGCACCGCCTCCAAACGCGCAAACGAATGAAATTTTCCGTCCCTTTCTCCCGAGACAAGTGCAGCATCCTTTTTCGTCCAGCATCCTGTAGTTGATACAATCGTAATCGTAGCTTATTTATTCAAGGGCAGTTAACAATTGTGTTTTCCGCGAGAATATCTATAACTATGTGTTTTATTGGCGAACAACTCATTAACGGGCTATAAAATTCATTAAGTGCTGTATATGTATATTAGCTACTGATGCGATGGAATTTTCATTCATCAACAAGGCGAACTTCGACAAGGATTGTTTATACAATGCGAATTCCGAATTTTACAACAATAGTGCCAATGGGGGACTGTCCGTCGCTAACCACATGAATCACTATAATCTAATGATTGACTCCAGCTATAAGCTATGTGCGAATGAGACTGCAATAAGGAGTTCTCTAAACCAGGAATCGAGCTTACTATTTTCCAAAATCACCACAGTTTCGGAATTTTACCCTGCAACTCATAACATTGCATCTTATAACTCTGGTAAGTAGAGTTACTTTCTCTCTATTGATTTGAATACATTATCTACCAATATTTTTCGGCTAAAACTTCTTGATTTCAATCCCATATTATCCATATGCCCAATTTTCACCTTTGAAAAGACTTCCATCTAAAATCTTATGGAGATGACAGTTTGAGCTTGACGGATAAATCGAAACAGAGAAGGATTCGAACTACTTTTACATCTAACCAACTAAACGAACTGGAAAAGATATTTTTGGAGACCCATTATCCAGATATTTATACCAGAGAAGAGATCGCATCAAAACTACATTTAACCGAAGCCAGAGTTCAGGTAAGAAAAAAGATAAAAAAATGCATAGGTTATAAAGTTATTTCAATCAGAAAATTAACTATTTTCTCAAAATAAATTTAAACCACTTCCATATGTGAGAGTCAACTTAGATTCTATAACAACCACTGATGCGTTAATTCCAAATGTTTTATTTATTAATTCAATCATTCTGCAAGATCCTTAAAATGTATAATATTAATGTATTTTTTATACTAGGGAGCCTTCTATTGGCTCATAAATCTAAATTATTTAAAATTTCTATGGAAATTTAATTTCTCACTTAGCAATTAATTCTTTCTTCTTATAACAATAGAAACTTCATTCGTTTAAAGGAATTTCATAAATTTATTGTCATACAGCACACAATATATCCTGACTCTGTTTCAGGCAACCACTATATAAACTTGTGCATTTTTATATTTTTTTTTGCATTTCAGGTATGGTTCCAAAACAGAAGAGCCAAATTTCGCAAACAGGAGAGACATGCCATTTACATAATGAAGGACAAGTCCATTAAAATGGATGGCCGTAAGAATCCTGCAGCTGGCTCAAAATATCTAAGTCCATCTCTTAAGGGATCGCAAAATGCCCGTCAAATGAAATGCTTATACGATCAAATATAGACAGTGCTAATATCGATGTAAATATTAGTATACATTTTGAGGAAAACAATTATTTTGATATTAATTTTACTTACTATTTTGGAGCGAATTTGCGTTAAATAAATAAGATCTGTGTAACATTGTTGCTCTTTTACTGGTAATCCGTAGTCTTATCATCTGGTTCAACACCCTCTTGAAGGCTCAGCTGGTCTGAGCCTGTGGGAAGAAAAACAAGAGGCTTATGGGGGTTGAAAGGTTAATCTTTATAAGTACCGAAAACATCACACCCCTCAAGAGAAAATTGCTATCCAATTACCGCGTGCAAAATTGATTAAATTGATATTAAAGTGGTATATAGTGTAGACCGGTTTCCTAAACATAAAGACGATTTATGAAATTACACATTAGTTAATTACAAAGAACTAAGTCGTAACTGCAAGTAAGAAAAAAAATTTTTATTAGTTTAGTTCACCAAACTTATGTATTGATAAAATGTCCCTTAAATTATATAAGATGTGTTCTTATCAGGAACCTTAACGATTAAAATATTAATGAACAGAAACTCGCAAATAAAAGTTTTTTAAGATTTGTATTTGATTTTTTTCAAAAATTCTTTTTATTTCAGCTATTTATTTAGAAATTTGAGAAATTTATTTTGACAAATCACAGGTAATCGGTTTAAGAATTTTAATTTTGGCAAATCTTAAATAATCATTATTTGGGATTTTTACTTATAAAAATATCTGATAGAACTCTATTTGCTCTTGTCTCCTTAGCTTGCATGCAATAATGGCAAAATTTTGGTCAGGCCAGTATTGCGAGTTGGTCTATGAGGTTTTCTTATGATCTATACGAAACTTATATGAGTGAAAAAGCCCCTTTCGTGATACCGTTATTCGTGAAAGTTATGTCGCTTTATTTTTGAAACAAGCATTAGTTGCACAGCATTTATAATTTTAAAAATTCATGTATCTATCTAAGTGTTCTCGGTGCTCCTTGTGTATTAGACAATGTACATCATTTTTAAAATTAAGATTAATTTATGTAGAAACATTTGATTTATAAAACTTGTGAAATCTTTAAAACATACAATAAAAAAATCCTTGGAGACGAATAAGTATCAGGTAGTCTTCATTTGAAAAAAATGAAAACGAAACTTAATTGTTAATATGAAAAAAAAACTAAACAATATTACTGCTGCAATTATTTCTAAGGCATTTTTTTTATGCGTAACAATGCTTTAAATAAGTGTCCAAAAAATTTAATTCATATTAATTTATTTTGCTAAGACTGTTCCTGTTCCATTCCCATTGTTTCCACAAGAACCAACGTAGATTTAACGACATACCCCTAATGTTTCCAGTTATAAAAAAAATACAGGTATGTGCAGTATTAATTTGGGAACGCGTTAGGGATTTTGTTGTACCTCTCGCCAGCTGCATGTTATTTGTTAATCGGCCTGGTTATAACACTTTATGAATTAAAATAAACACTTAACCATGTTGCGATCGAGGATTTCCTGCGCACTTCAACCACGGAGATTGGTGTCCTACTTTTCGGCTGAATTCAACAAGTTGGTGAACGAGGGACCGACGAAATTCGCCTCCAGTAGCAGTCATGCTGTAACGAATATAGATTTGGATCTGTTTGTCAATCCGGATAATCGACCCATGGATGTGGTGGATCGGCTGCTAAAGCTCAGGTGGGTATGGATATATCACAACTTCAATGACAACTAATGAGGGAACATTTGCAGGAAACAAAAGGAGGCCAGCATGGTGCCCCTGCTCCCAAGTGTTTTGGTCAAGCAATTACTGGACTCCACAAATCCGCAGGAGTCCATATCGGTTCTACGTAATCCCACCCAGTACGGCCTGTTCGTAGACCAGTTTTCCGGCTGCTTCCTGCTGGATTTCCTCCTGCACAATGGCCATGCGGTGGAATCAGCTCAGCTGGCCACTATTCTCGTGGACAGGAGCTTATGCAACAACGAACTGGTCGAATCGCTGGCCCTCCAGGCGTTTTGGTCCTTTGCCCAGGACTTCAAGCCCTTTGAGTCCTCTACAATTGAGCCTCCTGCCAAAAACGCTGAAGTGGTAAGATAAACATATTTAATCAGATGCTTTAAAGGTCTAAAACTAAAATAGCTTTGGTTTTTATCTGGAATTTTCAGGCATTTATTTAAAACTTAAAACAATTAGCTTAATTTCTCGATAAGAGTTTAGCATTTCTTAAGTTGTTTTCGAATAGTATAAATTGGTTAAGCTATACCCAATTTAAATAATGCAAATCGAAACTCTTATTGATAAATTAAGCTAATTGTTTCAAGTTAACTTACTAGCTTATACACATTATAAATCATTCTATTGAAAATAACTTAAGCAAAATTTATTAGTTTGTTAGGAAAGAAGCTTTGAATAAAAGCTTTAGGAATCAAAAAATTATTTTGTTATATGTTTAAGAACCTTTATAAAAGTCATCTAAATCCTTTTATTCAACTAATAATACCTTTCGGTTTATAGGTAAAAGTTCGTGTCAAGTTCCTGCGCAATTATCCCGAAGATGCCAGCGAAAATACCGAGGAAAAGAAACTGGGTCGCGCCATGATTAGATTGGGTTCCGGCGAAGGGTCCTTGAAGGAGCTAAAGCAGAACATTGGCCTACTTGGCTATGTCCTAAGCGGACAAGTAGCTGAGGCCTTCAGTTTTCTGACCAAAAACCAAGCTGCTCTTCACAAGGAAACTTTAAGCGCCGCCCAAACTATAGCTGAAAGTCTCAAGTTGGAGGGATCAGAGGAGTTGATGAAGTTACTACAAGAAACCCTTGAGAAGAGTACCAAATCGAATGCCATCCAGGGCCTACTGGAGAAAAGTGTTAAGGACACGGCTCACAAGTTTGAGCCAAAGTTGTTGGCCGAATACGGTGAGTCATATCAGGAATGGGCCAAGAAGTTCGAGAGCGCGATTCAGTGCCATCTGGAGGCTCAGAGCCTGGAGCAGCGTAAGTCCAGCATTCAGAAGACGCTCACCGAACTGGAGGCCAAACGCCAGAATCTGTGGTTCTTCGAGAACAGGGACGACATCGACATCCAGATCTACAAGAAGAAGGTCTACTATCCAAAGCGCTGGTTCGGCAAGAAGAAGAAGCCCAAGGCAGCGGACACCTTCTATGTGCCACCAAACATTACGCACAATGCTTAATTCTTAGGCCTTAACCATTAACCGTTGACCGTTGACCCTTGACCCCCCAGTGGCCACAAACAAGTTAGATCCAATTGTTTTTAAGCTTTAATTAAACTACTGGAGAGTTAATCCAAATTCAAATGTTGTTTCTTTTCTCGAACGTTAAATTGTTTAAAATTACCATAACGTAACATTGAGGGTCACAGTTATATTCATTCCATCTCAGTTTACAACATTTTTTTTATACTTTTTCTTTGGAGTTTCCATAAATTTTGCAATCTTAAAAGCTAATCGTCTGTCATTTGTGCATGGCCGAGGGCAGAGCAGTTTTTAAAACCCGCTGCCCGGGTGCTGAAGGGGATAGATTGATGGGCGAGGGCATGTCGTGCCGCTTGTCCTGTATGGTTAGTGGCAAGAACTGCTGCTGCTTCTTTTTCCGATTCATGTTCATGGGATGGGTGTTGTCGTTCTTGCCGAACAGAATGGTCAGGTGGACAGCACAGAAGATTCCCAGGCTCTGTGACAGATTGGCGCTTCGTTAGTATCCTTTCAATCAGACCGCAGTCCGAAGGTCCGCTCACCTGGAAAATGGCTATAATGGCAGCTCCGAAGGCGGTGATCAGCAAGCGGTTCCTGATCTGCTCCGAGACCACGGCCAGGCATCCGCGCTTGTAGTGGGTATCACATGCTGACTCGTAGGCGTGCTCCGGACGCGAGCAGCAGGACCAGGGCAGCGAAAGTCGGCGGTAATCAAGAGGTCCGTCCACACCACAGCATTGTAGCTAAGTGGGTTGAGGCCAAAGGGTATTTTATTAAGCCATCAAAATTGAGAGCACAAGGATTAATCAAGTATAATAGACCTTTCAAATTTAATATTAATAGACATAAATATACTAGCTTGTAATTAAGGGTTTCTTTAAGCATGGTTTTTACTTTATGTTGTCAACTAAATTTGTTTACCTTAACTTAACGAATTGTTTACGATTTGTTAACTATTTTAAAAAATGTTTTATTCATTTTTTACTTCGCTTTATACTTTGACCTTAAAAAGCAAATCTTTACAAATTCAACTTTTCCTGGTTAATTTTGGAGTATTTCTTAAAACACTATTTAATATTTGTTGAAGGCCGAAAATCTCTCAAAATAATGATTTTTGTTTAACTTTTTTGTGATTACTTAAGGGACACAAACCATGGATGCTTACTTCTCAAAATATTTAGAAACTATGATTGTTTATAGTTTTTTAAGGAGCAGCAAAGCAACATAAACTCACCTGCGATTGCATCCGATTCCACAAATGGAGGTTGTCCACCTTGGTGCGCGAAAACTTGTCCAGGAACTCGACAAAGGAGTCGTCGATGAAGATCTCTACGGAGGTGGGCAGATTCTCCCGCATGGCCAGCGACCAGCCGCAGATGATGAACTGAACACAGATGCAGGCGACCAAAAGGGCAGCAAACTGGAGGTTACACCAGGGGAAAACGTTATGGTGGCCCAAAATGAAATCCCTGCTATTTCGATTACCATTCCCAGGAGGCAGCGTTTCCGTTGGTTGGTGGCCTGGCAGCCCATCCAGCAGAGGATGAAGGTGACGGGTCCCAGGCAAAGCAGGATCGCGGCCGGGGCCCACAGCTTGTTCTGCACAATTCCATAGTAGACCGAGTGTCCCCAGAGCAGGGATGTGCCCAAAAATATCTGCGCAGCTCCGGTTAGCTGGGAAGGAAATCAAATTTCGGGAGGCTGCTGTTATCACAGTGGCTGGTTTTCATCTCAAGGCCCCGCATCCAAAGTGTCCTTGGACGCGGGGCTTAAGCTGCACTGTGTGTATTCGGGATGTAGCATACAAATATGTACTGCCTATATTATATATGGGGTCT